CTAATGTTAACTGGTGCATACGCAGTAAACAAAGTATGTATATAAGGAGGTTACAGGTGCTTAAGGGCTGGTAACAAAATTCAAAAGATAGATTTGACCATAAAAGGCCTCATCTAAACCTACTACGGCTCCAATGGTGACATCTCGCTTGCCTCTAACGATGTCATCAAAACCAATGTCTTTCTGTTAACGAGCTGGATGGGACAGCTTTTTTCGCTTGAAGGAAAGAAAGGAGGTTGTTTCCGTAGTTTGTAGAAGTGTTTGTAAACTTCAAAAAAAAATCTGGGCAGTATTGGTGAAGCGGGATGCACTTCTGTTGCAACTAGATATGCAGGCTCATCTGATGGAGTGCAGATTGGCTCTATGACATTTATGTGTTTTGGGAATAGCATAATCGGTTCTCATACTTTACTCTTTCATCACACTTCTTCCAATATTTTGAACCTTCGTAGTTTGAAGTGTAAGCGTAAACAAATGAATCAAGTGTGTTGATAAATTCAAATAATCTGCCGTAATCTTTGCTGTCGAATTCTGAGTTTCGAAACTACGTTCAGAGCTAGTAAATATTGGACGTAGACCATGTAGTGACCAATTAGGTAGGTTTGTATGCATTACCACAGATTGAGAAAGAAACGACCTTTGATGATTTTCAAATTCTTTATCTGTCGAAGATCATAGGGTGCGGAAAAAGTACTGTTCCTTAGTTTGCCTCTTAAAAAACCTCACAGATGGAGAAAATTTATGGTTTTTCAATCGTGCATGTAGGCGAGACCTTATAGATTAGAATAGGATAAGTTTGATCTGGAATGGTTTCCTTCTGTCCATTTGGTCGATTGATAACGGCGCGCAGTATTATCGACGATGCGCCGCAGCGTTTGGGCGCAATTTTGGACCGTACTATACCACCAGGAGTGATATCAGTTTCAAATTAAGGTAATATTTAAAGCATAACCTCTTCTCCCAAACTCTATACTTATTATGGATCAGCGACTTGACGTTTTGTCTGAACAAAGAAATTGATATTGCATGCAAAATCCAAAAATTCTCAAAAAGAGGTTAACTTGTTATGCTCTTGCTCAATACATTGGATCCGAACTATGATGAAATTCCCGATAGCAACAAAAAGTAACAGGAACAATGAAAAGAACATCGGGCTTTGTATACTTTATATTTTGAGACAGTAAACAATGGTACTTAGTTCAGCCGTGTTTTATGATCCCATGTTGCGCCGCAGACGCTACTTCGTTAAAAAATTTCCCAATTTTTCCCTACTGCAACTGCAATCTCGAAACAAAAGAATTTCGCAAAAAACTTCACATTCCCTTCACATCTGTAAAGGGAAGTTGCAAGATTCGATATGGGATGCGTTGCGAAAAGGGATCCGCCGCCGTTTAAAATTGCAAAATTACAAAGCCAGTTTTAAACTGCAAGAATACATTCACATCTTGAGATTTATGTCAAATTTAGCAGAAAATCTGGGATTCACGCCAATTTTTTTTGCCTTTATTTCGAGGGACAGCACTTTTTCCGCACCCTGTAGATAGTTTGCTGCATTTCCAGATCTTATCATATTATCTGAAAGAAAATGCAATTGTGCTTCACATTCTTGATATCTGTGATTTTTAGATCAATCATGAACAGATCTACCCCCGTTGTTGTTTATACTGCTCCATATTAGTCTAATCTTATTGACCCTATGCTTTCTTGTCTGCTTCGGTAGTCAGCTAGAATAAGAGTAGAGATAGATTGCTATCTAAAGGTGTTAGTATTTGTCACTAAACACAGTCATGTTTTCACTACCGAATAAATCAGCCAGTCTCTCAGGGAACTCTATCTCATTCGCTCACCAGAGCTCATTCTCTCACCATCTGTTCCAGAATCCGTTTGCTTATCGGAAATGTCTCATCTTATATATAAAGCTGAATGTCTGTTTGTCTGTCTGTCTGTATGTATGTACGTATGTTCCAGATAGAAAATTCCATTATCGAACCGATCCGGACCAAACTTGGCATACATATACCTCGGAGCAGGGAGCGTGTCATGGGCTACTTTTCGTCATCGATCGATATCGATTTTATCGATTTTTTTGCAGAGTTCACCTACGGGGCTGGGAGTTGGCACAGGCGGGTAAGTGGGCATGGCGATTCCGAATACAAGATTAGTTTTCAGAATTATCGATTAATTTTATTGATTTTATCGATTTTTTTGCAAAGTTTGAGCTACAGGGCTGCGATGGCATAGGGAGGTAAGTGAGCATGGCGATTCCGAATTCAGTATGTTTTTGGTATTACCTATTACTTTTATCGATTTTACCGATTTTTCCAAAATTTGAGCTGAAGGGCTGGGAGTTGGCACAGGGGGGGGGGTAAGTGGGCATGCTGATTTCGATAACAACACAGGGAGCGGGAAATAAAGTTTAGAAGTGGGCACAGGGAAAGGCTGTACAGGGTTAGGGATGGGACCTTTATTTAGTGTTTTGCCAGGGGCGAGCGGAGCCGGGTAAGCCAGCTAGTAACTGATAAGTGTTGATTCTTACCACTTCAAATTGGAACCTTGTTCTCTTCTAAAATTACATCTTGGTTAGTCAGCTAGCTTTCACTCCGGGCTCGCTGACAATCAAAAGCGGTGCCAGCATAATTTGTACAAGAAGCAATAATTCTAAATCTATTTTCTACTAAGTGATTTTTTAAAATTCTACTAGCTTTTACGCGGATATCCATGTCATTTTGGGTCTAGGGCTTCGTGTTTTATTTGTCCACATATTTCCTTATCTTCCTGTGACTTAGGCTCAAATCTCTTTTCAAAATTTGAGACTAATTTACTTTCTCACTAGAGCACACTGTAAATAAGAACTTTAATAGGGGATTTTTGCTGCACTTCCTATTTCATTGTTTGTAAAGCACGATACAGTGCTTTGTATTTAAAAGAAAAAGTTGTTGCTACTCCTTTTCCAGAACAAAGTTAGCTATGTTGATAATGAGTCCTCAGAATTCGCTTAAACTGCACACGTTGTTTAAATTCGAGAATGTCACTCATTGTGCTTGCAGCAGAGCTTACGAGGGGAATACGGTGATGGTCGATAAGCCTGCTGCTTGCAGTTTGAGCGTGAGGTTCCTGACATGCTTTTAACAGATAAACGTAATCGTTACCATCAACACGGTAGAGGACTATATTTCGCCGAAATGGAGCGGCCCCCGCGGTCATTTGCAACAAATGTACACCCTTTTACAAGCGAAGGGTGCGTTGCTGTAAGAAGTCCGCGCGACCCTCCTACATTCGGCGATATATAGTCCTCTACCCCGGGTGGTGGACTACATGTCGCTAAAATTTGGAAGAGTCCCGCGCGAATTTCCTGCAGGAACGCATGTCCGCGCATGTACAAGGCTGCTTATTTGTTGCAAATGACCGCGGGGACAGTCCTTTCTCGGCGACATATAGTCCTCTATCCCTCTACCCCCATCAGCATGACCCTAATTACCACTTCCCTGCTCTCTCAGCCCTCGATGTGAGCCCCATGCATGATCCTGTTAGTAAGAACGTCTCACGATGGACGAGTCATTCACTGGTCATCCACTATGTGGATGCGACTGCGCGCTGCGGCTCACGGTTGTATACCAGTTATTCGTCAATGAAACATTTTCTTCCGAAACTTTTTTTGATGTGTTGATAATTATTCGATCAAGCTAAAATAGAAAAAAACAAGTAGAAATCTCTAAAATGTGATAGCTTCTATTCAAGAGAATTTGCATTGTGTAACATGCATATTGAGTTACAAATGAGTCGGTTTTACTATTCCGATGGATTCTATTAGGTCATTCCGAAAGTAATTTCGCTTTTTTCAAACGGGCGCCACATTTGATGGAACAAAGGTTTCTAAGAGATCTTGGATGCATTCGATGCAGCATTTCATTCTCTTTCTAGAGGTTATGAAATCGTTGCGAAACAGTCAATGAGCTTTCAGAAAATAACCAAAATCTGCGACACATGCTTTTAGAGATGGTCAAGTTTCAGGATTTTTCAAAACTTTCATGTCAATCCTCAGAATGAGTTCAAGTAACAATTCGATAGAGTAAACCTTATAGGATACAGTATTACTTTTTTCTCGTTTCCGTAGCTTGTCATACATTTTTAACAGAATTTTGATTGATGCTACCGATTTCCATACTTGAGCAGCTAAATCCTCGTAGAACATCAAAAGAAAGGCAGCTTGCGCACTATTCGATGCAGCATTTTCTCCTCTTTCTAACGGTGTTTTTTTGTTTCCGATTCGTTTAGTTTCCGGGGAGAAATCATCATAACTCATTTTTTTAGCGAGCCCCAGGCTGTAGCCGAAAACTCGAAATTTGATATTTCGAACCCGTAAACCCTCACTTGCTTTGTAAAATTAATGCTAACTCATAATACCATCTTGGTAGTCTCAAATCCCGAAAAATTATGATGTCTGATGCGATTGTGGTTGAAGTGAGTTTGCCAAAATTCGATGGTTTTGCTAAAAAATCTTTCAAAAAATTACGGCGAGCTACGAGAAAGGGAAAAAAGAAGCACTGTATTCTATGAGCTTTACTCTATCGAATCGTTACTTGAACTCCTTCTGAGGATTGATATGAAAGTTTTAAAAAATCGTGAAACTTGACCATCTCAAAAAGTATAGGTCGCAGATTTTGGTTAATTTCTGAAACCTCATTGACTATGCTGCAATAATTTTATAATCATTAGAAAGAGGACGAAATTCTGCATCGAATGACTGCAAGATCTTTTAGAAACCTTTGTTCCATCACATGTGGCGTCCGTTTGAAAAAAGCGAAATTACTTTCGGAATGACCTAATAATAATACCATATAAAAGGACACGCCTCATAAGCTGAGTGATTATAAACTGGATCTGGACACCAGTTATATAAAATCGTCCAAATCCCTCAAAATTCGCTCATTAGGCATCCATTGGTCTTATTTTTGTCAAAGAGATATTTGAAACTTGTCAAAAAGGTATGTGAATCCTCGAAATAACAACATTTATCAAGAATTGTCAACATATAAATATCATCAAAGGCACCGAATGAGCTCGTGTCATATCACTAATTGCATAAATAATCTGAATAATAATACTAGCGCAGCAATGAGATATCTTACATCTGGCGTTGATGAAGGCAGTCCATCTAAGTAATCTAGTACCTATAATAAACATCACTTTATTGGGAAGAAGTTAGAAAGTTGTGCATTATCATCGCGGTAGGGAATAAGGGAACAACTTACTTTGAGCTGCTTTACAGAGGAGAGCACCAACTGAAAGCGTGGCGATTCGCTGAGCGAGAAGTAGTTTGAGAGCTTGTTGACGTATGTAGAGCAAGCCTAGAAAAATTCTGGGTAATCAGGATTTTTCAAGTTTTACTTCTTAACTGCTTGCAAAACGATATAAAGATCTTTGTCCCAGCATTTCTAGCTTTTTAACGGTGTCGTCCACAGGATTGCGTCTATAGTTTGGTTTAGCTGAAGTAAAACTTCCGCCAAAGCAAAACCTAATCATAGCGGGCAAACCCGACTCCGAGCGGTCCTGTCAACAATTTTTTCGTAATTAGCTTGCTTACTTACCCTCTCCCCCTTTGTGCCAACTCCCAGCCCCGTAGCTTAAGTTTTGCAAAAATCGATAAAATCGATATCGATCGGTAACGAAAAATAGCTTACGACACCAGCCCGCCACAAATGTATGTGTGCTTAGTATAGTCCGGATCGGTTCAGAAAAATATTTTCTATTCGAAACATACGCAACAGACAGACAAACAGGCGTTCAGTCTTATTTGTAGAAATTTAGAAAAGAATGACTTATTGCGTAAGCTGTCAAAATCAAAATTTTGAAAAAACCCTATGAGAACAACCTATGCGTAACGGAAAATTTTCGAAGACACCTTTTCGGCTCCACCAGTATGCCATTGTACTTTCGTATGATTGAGCGCTTCATTTTTGCCGAACCATTCAACTCTCATAAATGCTGATCCAGATTCACTCATTTCTGGCATCAGTACGATCCGACATTGTAAGCCCTGAAAAGTCTCTCAACACGTGCTTGAGCAGATACCAAGTCAGTTCACCTCAGGAAGTATTCTTTCGAAGGCAATTTGGAGTCTGCTGGCGATATCCGTCGCCGCATTCGATGAGAGAAATCCAGCACGTTCTAAGACGTCACGAGGTGTTTCGCTACGTAACATCTCAACATCGTTTACTGAGTAACCAGCTGAGAGGTAAATTCCTGAAACAGTGTGCAAGATAACAGAAACGCAAAACTGATTTTATGAGAAACAATGTATAGGCAAATTTGGTATGTAAGTTTCTCGACGGATTGAGTAAGAGGCCTGGCAGCGTTCAGAACGCATTCTTCGTGCTAGCGCCACCAACGCTGTGTCAGCGACATTACTGCATAACATCAGAACCGACGTGAACGTGTCCCGTATTGACCAGTGACGGTCCAACACGGCGCTAACACGGCCCTGGCCCGGCTCTGGTACGGTGCAGGCATTGGGCAAACCTGAACCCACTTCCCACTTTGGGTGAGCCATTCCCCTGCTGCTCATATGATTACGCCAAAACTCCAAGCTCCTGCCTACATCGTATTCCTCAGAACGGACCAATTAGCGTCGTGGGGTGCGGTAGATACGGTGTGGAATTCAGAGTCATTCTCAGCCACAAATGAGTCATGCTAGTGCCGCTTGAGCAGGGTAGCTTAATTAAGGTTCTCTCCCCATCAAGATACGAACTACTTTTATCTGGACAACAGTGGCAAAATTGCGCAAAATTGCGATTTGTTTTTACTTGCAAACAATGGAGATTTTCAACAAATTTTGCAAAGTCAAATTGATCTTGATGCTTTTTTTCAACTCGTAGCTATTCTTGATAATCGCTAAAATTTCGTGATGACTGAAAATTCTCGGACACTGCTGGACGCCAATTTCGGGTAATCTCCAAGTATGGCAGAAAGTACGTTTGATCCGGAGTTATAGTCAACATTGCTCACCAGGATATACTTCTGGCATTTCCTCTGGTAAATCACAGATAAATGAACCAGATTCACAATAGCATGCACCACGATCACGTAAAAACAATCTTTCTCCAAAATCTGAAGTGTAATCTTATTTGTTAGTCATTTTCCTTTGCTTCCAGTAAATCATACCAACAGTCGTCAATGGCGCTTCGCAACGTCCATCTTCCAGACATGGCAAACGTTCGCAAGTCAATTTATCCTCTGCTAAACATTCACACCATGACGAACATCGCCCTGACCAGTCCACGTATCTCTTAACATCACGTATTTCATTTGTGGTTTTGTATGTGAGGCTTCGAAACTTACCCGTATAACAGAGCCTATGTGAACAAAAATATTTCGACCGCTGGCATCCTTAGCGCTGCACCCTTCTGTAAAATTACTGTATCAGTATAGTCTAGAGATTGGTTATTGATGTAGTTTTCTTGCTTTAGCACAAACCAGGTGGCGGAGGTGCATGCGTTACGAATGTTGTCGTGGTTGTTGGCAAAGGTGTTGTGGTCGTTTCCCACGGTGGTGGCGGTTCTGTTGGAGGTAACGGCGACGGCGTCGTCCGAAATTTACTCTTCCGTCGACTGAAAGCGAGCAATGAGAAAATTACAATAATCTTTTTCTTGCCTTAGAATGAAAGGAGGGCAGTGAACGTATAACAGTCTTTTTTAGCAACTTTATTGTCTTTGACCGGTCCACTAAGATTAAAAAGCGAATTTAGAACAAAATAGGGGAAAGTAGCATCTTTGAAGTCGAATAAGCAAAAAAGTATGGTCTGGGAACTATATGTCGCCAATAGGTCCACCCGCACGGACAGCTGGTACAAATCTGTAATGTCCGTGATACAAGGAGCTGCGTGGTCTATCGCAGAGTCCGCGTGGAACTACCCCTCGACATACAGCCCTTACCCGAAAGTTCAGTCAATAGCACAGAAGTCTTAGGTAGCCAGTCCTTTTTAGAAAAAGATAATCTATTGAATAACTATAAGTATTTTAAGGTCCACTGATTTAAGGCTGCTTCTTCCAGGTTTGGGCGTGTCAGCGCCGTGCCGAAAACTGTGCCAAGGAAACCCCGGCTCGGCTCTGGCACGGAGCTGGCACGGAGTTGGCGCAGCATCGGCAACAACAGTGGACCCTGACAAAATTATATCGAGACTGAGGGCCGCATGCACTAACATCCCCGCGGGGAGGGGATCGCAGCTTAAAACAACGCTTTATATTTCGAAACTCCAGATACCTGGATTTCACGTTGTGTACCTATCCGTAAGTATTCCTACTACCCTTCACTATGAACATGTTGAACAGGAGCGAGAAGCTGTACAAACCGCATTTTCCAGCTTTTGTATGATCCCTGATGATCCCCGGCGCTTTTCTTTGGAGTCATTTTTCTTTCTCCGAAGTTAACGAAAAACCTCCAAAGTTGTGCAGATTGTCTAACCCGACAGTGCTAAGCATGTTGCTGATAAGAACAAATGATATTTTGAAGTCATGAAATTTTCGATGGTCCACAGGTCGAAATTTGGGGTATACCGAAAAATTCGATTTTTTAAAAATTCATTTGTTCTCATCAGCAACATGCTTAGCACTGTTGTATTAGATGTTCAGTATAACTTTGGAAGGTTTTCGTTAACTTCGGAGAAAGAAAAATGATTTTGAAGAATAGATGTTCGTCCCCCAGGGGTCATCAGGGGATCCTACAAAAAGCTGGAAAATGCGGCTTGTACAGCTTCTCGCTTCTGCTCAATATGTTCATAGTGAAGGATGGTGGGAGTACTTACGGACAGGTAGACAGCGTGAAATCCAGATATCCGGAGCTTCAGTATATGAAGCTTTCTTCTCAAGCTGCGATCCCCTCCCCGCGCGGATGTTAGTGCATGCGGCCCTGAGTGCTAGCACGGCCAATTTTGATAGTGCGAAGATAAATTATTCAAAAAAAAATTTCATTCTTTTAAACCTACCCCTCATTATGCTGAACTTTTCCATGAGGATGCCATGTTGTCACTTTTGGCCCTCGCGTTGTTGATGCCACCGATCCTTGCTCATTCCCCATCTTCTCACCTTCCTTGGCCGCAGATTCCTCATGTTCACCCCTCTGTGATATGGTACTTGAACCACTTTCCCAATCACTGTTTTTTTGCTCTTTTTCAGATGTTTTAGGATGTTCTTCTTTTTCGTTCACCTTTTCTTCTTTCTCGTCTTCCATGTTTTCTCCCTTGTCCTGATTTCCTCCCGTCTCTCCAACATTTATCCGTGTTTCTCCACTATGGCCAGAAGTAATCCTTCGATTACTAGGGTTACTTCCTCCCGATCTTACTACACCTCGGCTATCCACTGCGATTCTAGAGTTTTCCGCGCGATACGGTGATGCACTCTGAAGTGTAGATGAGTAAAAGACTGCACTAATCTCCAGCTACCGTACCAAGGACTCGACTAACCTTGGATGATCCTGCTTCTTGCACATTGGTGTCATAAACGCGGTTTGTTTCAATGCTCACACTTTTGACGGCGGTGGGAGTATTGTAGCCCATCAGACGAGAGTAGTCAAGCATAGCTTTCTCTGTAAGTTCCTCTTGAAGTTGAAAAAGGCAACATGACAAGTAAATCAAATTTCAAAACGGAAATTTAGTGTCAAATGACTTTTATCGAGATGGAATTGGTTATTGGCTTTGAAAACAAGAGATGGATGGCTGGTCCCCTCAAAACTCCGAGATAGACAATGGCGTCTTTGCAAAAAAAATTCATATGTTCATCCCGCTCCTCCACTTCGTCGCATTCAGCGAGAACTGGTCTTCGAGGACTTTGGAAAAGTTCCTTGTAACAGTGGCTAGCAAGATGCTCTCTAGATAGTGACGCCATTGCAAAAAAGGCAATATTTGTATCCCCTCTCACCTTGTTCACAATCACCTAACAAAATCCTATGCGCGAAAACTGGTTCCCAGCAACTTCGAATTTTTCCGCACCATTAGTCAGCGAATTTCTCCAAACAACCACGTCTTTGCGAAAAAGTGATATCGTGCATTCTACACTTTGTCATAATTACTTAGACAAAGCACTACTCTTATGGGAGACTTCGCAAAAATTGCGAAAAATTCTCGGAAAATTAGTCAGCGAGATGTTTTTTAAACGACGCCATTATCGCAAAAAAAAACTGAAATCTCATCCCAGTCTTTTAGTTACAATCGTCTAGATGAAGGTGTTATTCGTACAATTTTTGAAAACCGCTGCTCATTTTTCCAGAACTGCAAAAATCATTTCGATTTACTTTTGGAGAAGAAAGAAGGATAATGGTAATAGTCTAATCAAGAGCACAATAATGTTGCATGGTAAATCCGCTTTAGAAAATCTTGAAAAAATTTTAAGTGCACTTTACAAAACATCAGTATGGACGCAAAACATTTCTTCATCAACGTTCATTCCGTAAATAATGAAAGACACCACCTACCGATGCAAGGGTTATTCGGAATCATCGTTCTTTGATGAGCCATACATTCCACATCAGCTAACGGACAATAGCAAGGCTGCTCCAGAATTGATGCCCTGAGATTATACTTTGACTTTTATTAACCCACTGACGACGACGCCTGATTTTACGTGGCGGCGTTGTGGGACGACGCGATATTGCGCAACACTTCCGTCGTGAGAAGGTTTTGTGGTTATTTAAGAAATGCAAGGTTGTTTTGTGGACAACTATGAACATTTTTTGGCCGAGGAGCTTACAGGTCCCAAGAGTGCAAATCAAAAAAAAATCCAATCCACGAAAGAAATACTAGACCTACAAAAGTACATGACTTTGCCACAGGTGTGAGCCACCGGTGGTCCACATCGTCGTCAATGGGTTAAGCACTTCGACCAATAAATCAAACTTGGTTTAGCCTACCTAGCATGCAAAATTGTTCTCCTACATTCATCTAACGACGTTTTAATACATTCGTCATGAGCTATGGGGCAATTTGCTGAAAGTGAATGCCGCAGATGCCTAAAATAAAATTTAAGGCTTTTCTGGTAAAGCGAATACATTACCTACCGACATCGATGGTCCGAATCACATTTGCGTGCTGCTTCAGTACATGTCATTGCCGCTGAGTTAGTTGAATAAAGGCACTTTGGATAGAGCAATTCCTGTAAGTGATTGAAGTTGGGTAAGACTTGAAAAAAATAGGATTTTTCACCTCATTCAAGGTTTAGGGCTAAATCTCAAACTCTTAGTCAGAAAAGATTTTTAAACTTCACCTTTCTATTGGAATCTTTCGAAAAATTAGATATTTTTCTCGAGTTTGAATGTGGTCTATTTGCAATTTGGATTTCAATCCAAACTCCAAAAATTTACGCAGATAGCTATCTCTTACTGTAAAAAAACTTAGAAAATTTGAAGGATTTGTAAACATTGAATTATTCAATGCCGTTTGCTTGTTTTCGCAACCCTTTTCGAAAATTTAGAATTACAAGCTTGTGAAATTTTTCGAAGATATCGCAGAAAAAGACCCGTACAGCGTGACGATGATTGCACCCCTTCAGAATGTATATTTTTCGCACCATATTGCTTAAAAGTTTAGCTACTAGCTAATTGTGTAAGAACCTATAGGCTGCTGCATGACGAAGGCGCAATATCTTCGGGCGCGAACGCGGCTTTATTGGCCGTAGAGCGCATGAGTGGCAGGATATACAACGGTGAAGATATGCGCGCGCCGCTTTCGCGCCCGCTCAACTTATACTGCTTCTGCGCCTTTGTCATGCAGTAGCTTTTACATGGAACGATATGATAACTACGGTAGAAGCATTATATATGTGTATACCGTGATCACGGACTCGCAGATTACAGTATTTGTGGCGCTCAAGGCTACCTCTGTCATTAAATTCTTCAAAGGCGGTGTTAAGACTATTTTTGACTTTTCAATCTTTTGATTTTACTCAAAAAGCGACAATTTGCGTCTAGAATTATCGTGCAGGCGCAGTGTCAAGGCCGTGCCAGATCTACGAGGACACATCGTGTATTGTTCGAGCACACCTCCTCCATTTCCGCTGAAATACCCTGGCACGTCACTGGCACGGTGGCGGATGCAGCCTTGGTCAAACTGTGAACGGACGTTGCTAATTACAACCCGCAATATGATTTACGCCCGAGCGTAATTTAAAGAAACTTCTCTCAAGATGCTGGCACATAGCCAATTGCTAAAACATCGTTTATTGGATTGCAGCACGAATTTGCGCGCTATGTTCACTGCTGACACATCAATTTCGAGCGGCCTAATAGACAATTAGGCAAAAGTGAAGACGATGGAATTGGATGCGACAAAGAAAGCGCTAATTGAAGATTTTTCTGCAAGTAGTACGTCATTCGGTAATTCACAGATCATCGTTTGAAAAATTGAACTCGCACACCTGTTGATGAGCACATTCTGAGTCACCAGCCGAACAATGGCAAAACATCATCGACTCCACCAAAGAAAACGGAACGAAACGAGCAAAACGTTGAAGAGCCTGAATGAGATAAGCTTTATTGTTTTTCTGAACTTGTCACAAACTACTCAAAAAATTCTTCAGGTAAAAAAATTCTATGTATCGTAAGATTCATTGTTGACTCCTAGATGTAGATCATGCAGTGGGAAATAGCTACTGTAGTTCTGCGTGTCTCCTGTTTCACTCATTCCTATGGCGACTCAGAGGCCCGAGAACCGCGCTGCAACCGCGCGCATCTCTTCGTTGAGATCAACGCACTTATTATTTGCTAACGGCGTTTTTACACTTTTCATGTCATTTTCCATAAATCAAGACTAAAATCTCTCATAGTTATGTTAGCAAAGCGTACGTTTCCTGTCATAACGGTAAAAGCTTGTGAGTCGCGGTGAAAAAAAAAGATGATTCTGACCTACAGAATATGGCAAACGTGCAGCATCGCCTTGCCCGAAAATGGCAAGCTCAGAGATGCGCGCGTCTGCAGCGCGGTTTTGATGCCTTTGAGCCGCGACGAAGAACCTGGCATACGCGTCCGTTTATTTGCGCCAAATATTGCGCGGTATCATGAGGTTCGACTGAATTAATCCCCTCTTATCGAAAATTTCTGAATTTTTCATATTAACATTATAATGACTGACCCAACTAGAAATGAGTAGTCGATTTCACCGAAGAAGTCTGCAAAACGAACTTCATTCTATAAAAAGAAGCGCAACACAATGGTGGCTATATAGCATAGAGATGGAAAAACTTCAAGTTAATTGCTGTCTACCATGGAGACGCACTTTGGATACTGGATGCAATTTGATGAAGAGAATTGGAAAGAGAGAAAACTTTATTTACTTTTTCTATTTGACGAGTATAATTTAGAGAGCGATTACCATATATTATAGCCTGTAAGAACCACTTAAAGAAGCAAGAAATATGTCAAAAGTAAGCCATGACTTCAGGACTTGCGACAATTTCCGCGTCAAAAGTCAATGGGTGTCAGATATGAGTCAATTTTGAAGAATGGAGGAAGCTAAACAAGAGCATGTATTTTTTTGCATTTTAAAATCTGACATTGGCGCCCTCGTTGCACAAGATTTCGTCTAAAATAATCTGTAGAGACCTAATGCAGGAATGCGCGCCGCTGCAGCGCGGTCCAATGCCTTTCGGTTGCGAAAAGAATAAACTAGCATATCCGGAGCCAGGATTTTTTTCATGTATGCCGGAGCTATAAAATTTCAAAAACTTTGCTGGGATATCTATCAAATATGTAGAGCCTAAAACTGTGCTAGTTCAAAGAAGAAGCAGCTGCAGTCACTCCCAAAAGAATTTCCTCAAACTTGTTTGAATTTAAAAAAAAATGAAAAATAATCTCGGGTAATCACAAGAAATAAGGAATACTTGACAGTTCTTCGAGTAATTCCTCTTTCAGACTGATTTTCCAACTGATTAGGGGGGGGGAAGAGATACCGGAAGTTGCAATTGTTTCTCGCCTAACCGATAGCCGATGATACTAATGAGGAACAAATGCCAATGCATAGCTGATTATACAAGTATTGATGTTTGTTTTCAAAGTATAGTTTTCGCAATAACTTCTCTTCTCAAGCTCTTTTTTGCCCATTCGGCACAACGGAAGTTCCGACACCAACTCGGATAAAATAGCTTCGTTTCCAATGCATTTGTTAGCAACATATTGAGCGGTTTTTTTTCTTCTTTGCATTAAGGAAACCATTTCACAGCACACTTCTCGTTGCAGTTCTTTTTTTTACACAATGCGTTGGACAACTAGTAGTTTTGCACAGAAATATTCAAAGTGATTTTTTTTAACTAGAAAGCAACCCTAAACAAATCCGAACTGGCGGATCCTTTCTGGAGGCAAAGTATACGAGGGAATTTGCGGATAGATATGCGCTGAAGAAATTCGATATGGCAAGCAAAGAAAGGAAATCTTGATTACCACCTGCTTAAAAAAAAGAATCGCAGGCTTTCCCAGAAGAAAAGCACTAAGAATTTTCCGCTTGGGAATAAACAGCAGAAACTAGAGCTACGACTACATTACATTCAGAAGGACTGTTTGTAATAAAGTGAAAGGTGCGACTCGCGCACGGCTTCGCGCATATTGTTTATGCCATCTTATACAGGGTGTCCCAAAATAATGTGCACACTGTTTGATTTTGAATAACTCTCTTATTATGAGGTCTTTCGAGAAGCTATAAGCGCCATTTTGTAGAGCTGGCTTCAACTTAGATTTACAGTATAGAGCGAATCACAGACCGCTCTTCATTACTGTAGGATTACGGTAGAAACTTGGAACATATGGTGTCACTGTGGAAAAAGCTGCCATTTCAAAAATTTTCAGAAACATGTGAAAACTTGTGTAATAAGGTTTTTAGGGACGCTGAGTTTAATACTCAACTATTCTCAAGATTGCGAAGCTTTCTAAACGGTATAACCGCACTTTTTAAGAACATTGAGAAAATGGCCGCTACTGCTTACCTCGCATAACTCTTCAGCGAAGCATCATAATAAGTTGAGAACTTTACAGTTAGAATCAGAAACTCTAAATGGCCTAGTGTTAAAGTTTTCAGGCTATTTTGATTCCTTTCTGAGGCAAAATATGGCCTTTCATGGCCCAAAACCCTCTTCCAAGTTTCTACCGTAATCCTACAGTAATGGAGAGCAGTCGGCGATTCTCTCTATACTGCAAATCTAAGTTGAAACCAGCTCTACAAAACGGCTCTTACCGCTTCTCGAAAGACCTCGTAATAAGAGAGTTATTCTAAATCAAACAGTGTGCACATTATTTTGGGACACCCTGTATGTTGTGCAGAACATGGGAATCTACATAATACATAAGTCGCTAAATGCGAGGACATGATTGGATATTCGCAGAAGTTCAGCGAAAGCGCGACTCGCGCACGGCTTCACGCAATTAGTTGCGTAAGTCTCATCTCATTTCAAAACATAAAAAACTACATAAGAACACAGGAATCATCATAACAAGCACATGCCATGCCATAATGCATAAACTAGTAGACATCAAAACCGCTAGTCGCGCACGACTCTTGCAACATAACCAACTGACAAACTCGTCTTCGCGCACTACTGTTTTTCGCGGTTTGCGCACAGGTTTGCCACAACTGTGATTCAAATCGTAAAAGTGTTTGCGCAACTTATCACTATATATTTTCTCCCATGTACTTTTTCAAACGCATCCACTTTGCGCGACTAACGCAGGGCATGACAAGAATTTAGAATCATTTTGGCTTAAAGGATATATACTCTCGTGCCCAAGTCCCCATTGTTTTCCCAAATGCGATAAATTGCTCAAAACTGGTCTTTCAGACTTTTGGTTCTGCGCACATCAACGCATTAGGTTTGACGCGACGGAAAACTGACACAAATGCGCGTATATTTATGTTAGTTGTCTTACCGCAGCACATTCAGCACGTCGACATGTATCCGGAGCACATCGTACGCGTAACTCGCCCAAATGCCATCGACACTCGTCCGCAGCTTCGCAACGCGTTACCGCGTCCTGACACGATGATCCTGAAGATCAGGAAATTAGTGGGTGGCTGAATAAGGGCGATCCCTAATGTTTAGATTCTGTGGACATGCTTAGTGCTACGTGAGTTCATGATTTCGCGACGTGAGTTTGCCTTTTACAGCGTTTTTCCTCTCTCATACTTCCGCCTTCGCTGAGACAAAGCCAGAAAATGACAGATTATCCGGAAAAGGGCACCGAATCAGAGTTATTCCACTTCCATTGGGTCTTTTCTTTCTGGTCATAAGCGGAAAGGTCAAGCAGGAAGCTTAGTTGGGCAACAAGAGCACACTGACTACACAACTGTCAATAGAGAGGAAAGAAGGTGGAAGAAGGAAGGTTTGAATGCTTCCATGGAAAAAAGTGTTCAGCACAGTCTTTTTCAAAAATACAAAAAATACTTTTCATTTCTCTGAAAATAAAAGAGAGACTGGAATCAAAAAAACTGTCTTTGAGCTTTTAAATTCCTCTCATTTTATGACAGCATCCAAAGTTGCCCGCCAGCTATGCCAGCGCCGTTCCATCGCCGTACCACTCCCCGTATTGATCGATCGGCGTTACGGAACGGTGTTGGAACACCGCCGGCACAGCGATGACACGGCGCTGGCATGGACAACCCTGGCCGCACTTTATAGGTCATCTTTCTGCCGAAACGAGAGGTTTTGCGTTCTCATGGAATTGTAGAATAATCTAAATAAAATTGTAGAACTAAGTAAGCTAGAGAAACACAAGAGATTTTTACAGACTTTCTTAGAACACCCGTGACAACTTGTAGTCACGTAATTCCCCATGTACTCAGAAACTACAAAAACAAATTTTTTTGCACGTAGTTGCTCAATGTCACAAGCTCTACCAGATAATAAGATGTTTGCAAAACATTCTATGCGGAGTAGCGCAACTAACTTTTTTGAATACATTATGAAACCAAATGAGTGTACTTGTACTTGCATTATACATCTACGAGCAGGGTAAGCGAAAGCCTTTTCGTTCCAGTCGCGATCAGAAATGCTCCTATTTTTAACTATAATTTGCAGGATTGAACACTCCAAAAAAAATTTGCTCGGATTTCTCCCTAGATATGAAAATTAGAAAACACTGTGAAAAAGTGACAGATTACAACAATCGCATATCGGTCAGGCAATGAAAATGATCAGTCTCGGACATACGGACAGTTCATCACACATTACAATGAAGTAGGAGTAAATAGAATCCATGAAACGGTAGATTTTCTCAAAAATCAGAATCAGGTTGTGAATACTAAAGAATTGCAATAAACAATAAAAAGAGCCATTTTCTTCCAATTTAATCAGAAGTAATTTGAAGCGGTTTCGGTAAGCATTAACGAAAATGTTTTTTTTTTGAAAAAGCTAATTTGAGTACGCGAAAAAATGTTTTTTTTTTGTTCTAAGAAATTCTCGCAAAAAGATGGTAAATCTTTTTGATGTAGCTTTCCCCTTTTGAAGTTGAATACGTCAGATTTTTTTTGAACAGTCGGAGTTATTGTTAAGTTTTTTGGTCCGTCACTACAATCCACTTCCCATCCGCAAATTTATTTTTTATTTAAAAAAGATAAAAAGCCAGAGAGAGCGCAGTATGGTACACATGAATTTTTAGGAAATTTATCAGAATATCTCAACGAATTGAAATCTAAAATTTATGCATTCAAGCTGCTAAAAATTTTCAACTTCCTCTTTTCAAAAGGCAAAAACTAAAATTCAAAGGCAGGACTATAACTATGCTAAGCTAAGAGCAAATATCTTCTGGCTAATGCAATCCGCGTTTATTACAAAAAGGAATCATTTTACCAGCACAGGGAGGACTGAAAGGGAAATTTTGAAAAGAAGAGCAGACAGCCTACTTTATTTAACGATTTTGATCTTACTTCTCTAGGGAGTATAATATTTATGAAGAATTACTGAATGTGAGCACGGTAAAAAGGATGCATAGAAATTTTTGACTGAAAAATTCAAAAAAAAAATTGATGGCCGTTTCAAGAGATTGCATTGTTTGCGATATAACGGCCAGAAAAATTAGAATTATTAAGTTAGACGTTGTAATAAGGATGATATACAAAAAGATATTGGATACTAGCGGCTATAGAAGCTGTTCTAGATGCAAAAAATTAAGATATCTCCCCCCTCCCCAATTCTTGAAAATTCCATAAGAAATGAGACTAGTGGTTGTTTAACCGTGTTCTGAGCTACTCGACTATGTACATGTACCTTATTCGGCTTCAGCGCTGGCATTCGATTACGGGCCGTTTGAAGAGTTTACCATGTAATTTAGTACCTTCGAACAGTGACTCAGGAAGCGTTATTTAAGCAAATTTTTCCCGTTTCTCTTAAGGTTCAAATGGATAAGGGGAGCATAATACAACTTGTTTTCCCATATCATTCTCATTAAGGAGTGAGGTGAAAGTAAAGCGAAAATTTCCTGTTTCAATTTTGATTTTTTAGGAATGAGGTGAGAGTTGATTTGACAAAAATTTTCCCGTTTTTCCTATATCTTATATATAAAGCTGAATGTCTGTTTGTCTGTATGTATGTCTGTATGTATGTCTGTATGTATGTACGTATGTTCCGAATAGAAAATTCCATTTCTGAACCGATCCGGACCAAACTTGGCACACATACGCTACGGGCCCCGGCGGGTGTCATAGGCTACTTTTCGTCATCGATCGATATCGATTTTATCGATTTTTATCGATTTTTTTGCTGAGTTCACCTACGGGGCTGGGAGTTGGCACAGGGGGGTAATCGAGCATGGGGATTCCGAATACAATATTGGTTTTCAGGATTGTCGATTACTTTTATCGATTTTATCGATTTTTTTGCAAAGTTTGAGCTACGGGGCTGGGAGTTGGCACAGGGGGGTAATTGAGCATGCTGATCATCCCCAAGGGGGGTGATCAGCATGCTCGATTACACCCCTGTGCCAAATTCCAGCCCCCTAGCTCAAATTTTCAAAAAATCGATAAAATCAATAAAAGTAATCGATAATTCTGAAAACTAATATTGTATTCGGAATCCCCATGCTCGATTACCCCCCTGTGCCAACTCCTAGCCCTGTAGGTGAACTCTGCAAAAAAATCGATAAAAATCGGTAAAATCGACATCGATCGATAACGAAAAGTGGACCGTGACACCCGCCGGGGCCCGAAGTGTATGTGTGCCAAGTTTGGTCCGGATACGGCGGAGCCGGGTAAGCCAGCTAGTATAAAAAAAACAACAACAAGGAAATCCCACCTTGAGATAAGTTTTTTGAAAGGTGAGCAGTTTGGCACTTATCAGAATTTCACGTTTTTCTCGTTCAAAAGTAAAATAAAAAAGAGAATCTCGACACGACATATTGTTTCCATTCCATTTTTGATTTTTGAGGAGTAAGGACCCATTTTATGGTTCAGGGCCTGTAACGGAAGTATGGCGTTTGAGCTTCTCCTTTCACTTTTTTCAGGGAAATCAGAACAGCGTATTCTGACATATTCCAGTTTCATTTCTGGGCCTAAAGTGAAGTAAATAGTTTTCCTGTTTCTATTCTGCTCCTCATAGAAAAAGACATGTATTCATTGGTAGAGGCGGATCTATGCTTGAAATAGAGTAAGCAGAAAAAATTAGATAAATCATTTGAAAAGTATTTTGAATTTCTGAACTTGTTGGCTTACCATTCTCAGCTAAATACGAATCCGTGATGATCGCTAGTAAGCTGAGGCAAAAGATCATTATCTCGACTTCAAGTGAGTCGATCAGATCGCCGCGATCAGGCGCGCCCTTTCCGGCGGGTCATCTGGGGGCGCTCTGAGTCGACGTCACACAACGGGTGCTTCACGGGGGACACGGGGGGCGGTGAAGTACTGGATGGCCACACGGGGGGTGTGCGATTCCCCGTCGTTGTCGCCGTCGCCGCCGCTGCAAAGGTGGCGCCCCCGGCCGAGCAGTGGCCCGCCCACCGCCTTCCGAGCGCGAGCTGCCTCTCCGAATCAGCATTATTACGGGGCGAAAAACCCGCCGCTCTGCCGCGGCTGCGACGCGACGACGTCCACCCACCGACGACGAAAAGACGACGAGGTAATTGCGGTTCTCGAACGATGTCGCTGAAGTCTAATGCTAATCGCGACTTGATGTCTTGGGACCACGAGCTCAAGCTGATTTTACAATTGAGAGACAAGCAAAGTCCAAAATGAGAAAAAAAGCATGGGAGGTCCCAAGTGGAACATCTACTTAGTTATGCAGTAGGAGAAAGATATAAGCCAATGCTTCGTATTGCCGATAAAACGCAAAATTTTTCCAAAGCGAAAGATGTGT